AGATTAGGCAAAACTGCAGTAAATATGAAGTCACCATCACAACTATAATTTAGTCCAAAAGAAGTGAACCATCCTCTACCTGAAGTCTAACAGTAAATGGAGTGGAATAATAACCTGTTTTATCTTGTTTTTAATATAGGATTTATGCTGCACTCTTTAGATTATCCACATTAAATATGCTTGATATTTTGACAAACCCATGCAATATTCCTTAGGTTAACTTTTACTAATCACTGTACTGCTAGAGCTAAATGAACTAAATATCAGTTTATGTAGTGTTGCTCAAAAGATCTACAGACAGCAAGGCTGATGCTTACCTTAAAAAAGAGCACTTTTAAAATAAAGGAAGAAAGCAATAATGTTCCAAATGAATGGCACTGGACAAAATACATATAACCAGTAACATATTTAGACTGAGCATATCAGGTGCCCACTGGTTTCTCTCATATTCATAATATGCTTGAGAAGGTCTTGAAAATACCATCCTTCCCTCTAAACTTTCAGCTTCTAAGTAGTGTCAGGTGTTATCATTAGTATGAAAGAAAAATGCTTTCAGGCAAAAGTAAAAACCCATGCACAAAGTAAAATAACAAAATCTGCACTGACTTTCTGTAAAAGCACTCTTCTCGGGTGGTGACATCCTTTAGTACATATCCAGGATAGACTAAACTGAAAGAGAATATTTTGATACAGTAGCAATCCTTTCATATACTCTTACTAAATATTATAAAATTCCAAAAATACATAAATATTCCTTGTACCATGCATTATGCACCAGTTTGGGCCTGACTGAAGGGGTCACGGTTACTATTTTTTTTTAATTTTTTTTACAGTTACTATTTTAACAGTTGAACAGTGCACCTCAAAAGTTCTGTCATCGACACACAGTGAATGGACTCCAGAGATGGAGGCTCCAGAGAGATGGCAAACTATCTTTAAAGTGAGAGTTTGTGATGGAGTGTCTCCAAATTGGAAGAGAGGAGGATATGGGCTAGGGGATGTAGGCAGGGCAAAGGAATTTTAAAATAATACTGCTAGGAGTATATATATTTCAAGACAGCTACTATACCTTGTCTATCCTTTATCCTAATCTGGAATAACTGCATGTTTGTACCAAATAAAGTTTCTACTTTCTAGGAAGAGGAGCAGTCTGTTAGAAAAAGTATGTTATATTAGTTAGGGGAAGATGTGAAGACATTTCTCTCGTAAGTGCTCTTTTACTTATTAAGTCCTTTGGCTACTTCACTGTATGCTATTTCAACCTCCTTATCGCTGGGGCAGGTGTTGGTGAACTCATCCCTACTGTAGGCATTAGTTAGGTATCTCCAGATGCCAGTCATTCCTTTTGGAATGTCAAAGTTGTGGTATTTTTTCGCTACCACCTTAATATCATGATGTTACATGTTAATTTGTAGATTTTTGTCTTGTAGAGACATTATTTTTGTCTGATATAGATCTATCGAGAGGTTATGGTTTTATCTCTGTGCCCTGGACTGTCCGTGGTCCATGGGGAGTGTGCCCGGGGCTGTCGTGGGCACACTGTCCTGTGCTCTGAGTGACCCTCCATGTGTCACCTTTGATCTCTCAGTAGCAGGTAGGGGTGTATGTGTTGTTTGGTGAGGCCTGCCTCTCCATTTCTCCTAAGTGTTGTCAGTAGAAAGATGGTAAATAAAGGAGTTTCTGGGTTTCTCGCCTCTTCTCTCCAGGCCTCAGTTACTCGTCACCCAGGACTTTGGGACTGAGCTGGACGTGAGCAGAGGAAGGCGTCCCCCTGGTCCCCCTTTGCGGCCCCCACCCTGCTCCGCTTGTGCACCGCGTGGCTTCTTCCTGAACTCTCCTGCCCTGACTCCTTCTCTCCAAGTCAGACTCTGGTTTGCAGTCTTTCTTTGCCCACAGCTGGAGTCTGTAAACTTGCTGATTCCTGGTTTCTCTTTATGTACCTGCCCTGTGATGCCTTCATCTGTCTGTTTCCTCACAGATGCTTGCCAGACCTCATGTCCCTGCCTCTGCTGGGTGTTAGGGATAATGGAGTGACACCTGCCCCGAGGCCCACACTGATGGGCGGGATCCCCAGATTCTCCTTTGGGCAGTAAGACTCCTCCCTGACGAGACTAACTTTTGTTTTCTTTCCAAACATTAGTTATCTAGGTAATGGCAGTTTCCTGTATACTTTGCAGGTAGAATAAGTAAAACTTTATATATGTGTATGTGTGTATATATATGTAATTTTGCAATGTGTATTTTACGTATTTATATATATTTGCAGTCATCTTAAAAACTACCTTTAAAGAGTGTAAATCCTTAAGAAGAAAGTTATTTAACAAGGTAATATTCACAGATTCTCTCTTTAAGCATTTCTTTTCACACCACACACTGCATTGATGGCAGGTTAACTGCAGTCATGCTTTGGAGACCTGAAATGCCAGAAGGCATCCTCTAATGTCCCAAGTTCCCAAATCTTTGCCTATCCAAAATTTTCTTTGTAAATACCTTAGAAGAGCTCATTCTTGAGGTAATTTGTGATTCAAACTGTGGGAAATTGGCAGTGTAAAATACAGGAAAAACCAGTACCTGTTTAAAAAAATAGTGAGCTTTTTACTACTGGGGTAAGCGAGGAGGAAAATCATTTGAATGAAATCAAAGCAGAGGCTGAGCTTGACTTCTTGCAAAATAAAGAGGAGAGTGTTTCAAGAAACTCAGTGTTGTCACTTGCAGTTTTAGTAGAAAAATGCTTGAAACAAAATAGTCTTTCTATTAGTGAGGGAAGGCAGCCAAGGCAAACGAAGCAGGGCTGCTGGACAAACGGGCTGCGTCTGTGGGTGGGAGAGGAGGCGGCCTGGTGCCTGCAGGCCTGCGCGTCTCCTTGCGGGCTTGGCGGGAGGGTCCCCAGACCCCACACGGCCCAAGGAAGAAGCAGATCTCCTTTCACAGTAGAGGAAGAGTCAAACTCCCGCTGGGTAAGGTCTGCCTTGGGTCCTCTCATCTTCCACAAACCTTTCCTTTTTTTAAAAAAAATTCCAGTTTGGTTTTTGTCCAGTCTGACAGCCCTTCTTTGTGTTCTGAATCATATCCGCTTTCCCCCCAGGCCAGGACCCTGCCTGGGGAACTGCGTTGTGGTTGAGGTGGTTGTTCTGTGAAGTCCATCTTCTGCATCAGAGACACACTCAGCTTCCCAGGCCAGCCCAGTGCCAGCAGGAGGTCTGCAGTGGTTTGGGATATGTGGGCCCATCGTGTCTGACAGCTTACTGAGATGGCCTCACTCAGTTTCAGCTTAAATGCGCTATTTGTGTCTACTCGGTTTTTAGATACTCTTTATTACTGTTGTGTGGTCACTAAGTCATGTCCGACTCTTTGTGACCCCGTGGACTGCAGCCTGCCAGTCTTGTCTGTCTATGGGATTTTCCAGACTAGAATACTGGAGTGGGTTGCCATTTCCATCTCTAGGGTATCTTCCTGACCCAGGGATTGAACCCATGTCTCCTGTATTGGCAGGCAGATTCTTTACTGCTGAGCCACCAGTGGAGAGTGGAAGTGCTAGTCGCTCAGTCATGGCCGAGTCTGCGACCCTGTGGACCGTAGCCCACCATGCTGTTCTGCCCATGGAGTTCTCCAGGCAAGGCAAGAATATTGGAGTGGGTAGCCATTCCCCTCTCCAGAGGATCTTCCCAGCCCGAGATTGAACCCACGTCTTCTGTATTGCAGGTGGATGCTTTACTGCCTGAGCCACCAGGGAAGCCCTGTGCTTATTATTGGTAGCAGTTAAGTAGATCGCTTTAAACTCTGTCGGAGGCCACTGTCTGTTAACAGGTGTGCCCTCTTAGAAGGGAGTCCACAAGGGGGCCTTTTCCCAGCCTAGTAATTTACTTATAGTTTCTTCATTTGTGAAATAGGGCTTATTATTTTTACCCACCAGGGTGGTTTTGAAGAGTAGAGATGTGTGTTTTGAGTGCCCAGTGCTGTCTGGCAGGCGGTGGGCAGGAGCTGGTTCTGCTGTGTGGAGGCAGCTGGGGCGGCTGCCCTCAGCCCCTGGCTTGGGAGAGGGCCATTTTCCTCTCTGCTGCTCTTTGCATGATAAGGATTCTTTTGTTTTGTTTTATCAGGGGACATGAAGCCTTGATGAGAAGAATAGGCTGTTAAGATAAAGGATGTCTGACCACAATGGGTGTCTTTTTTTATGTGCAAGGACATCGTACTCATATAAAGGACTCTGCTTAAATTTTTTTTTTTCCAGATTGTGAATTCTAACTCTTTGAACTATTTTGTTGTGTGTGTTTTACGTTTTAGAACAGATAGTTTTTCATTTAACGTCAGTCAGTCATCATCTCAAATGTTGTTGCAGGTATTTGCCCTAGAGAATTTTCACGTAGTCCTTTTAACGTCTTTATTGAGGTACATTGGTGTGCGGGAAGCTTCAAGCCTGTGTTCACCTGTGAGACCACCCCACAGCCAAAGTAGTGAACATGTCTATACTTTGCCTCTGCGGTGTCTGTACCCCCTCCTGCCCCACCGCAGACAACCCCAGGGCTCTGGCCCCTGCGACAGCTCGGCGCTCAGGCGGCTAGGCGCTGACAGCAGCGTGCACGCCTTGGTCCACTTCCTTCACTCAGCAAAATTATTTTGAGAAACATCAGCATTGCATGTACCAGTTTTACATTTTAAGTTTTCAAAATTAACTTCTGTTTGCACTCCTAGATGCGAAGCATTGCTTCTTTGAAACTATTAACCTGTTTTCAAACTTTGTTGAGACATCTCGAGTAATAATCATAGTAAAAATCGTAAGAGAGCCCTGCCCCGCACTGTCCTGGTAGAAGTCTGAGTCAGAGCCTCCCTCAGGCCCAGCCCCGCGGGCATGTGCGAGGAGGGCTTTCGGGCTCCTGAGAGCATGACACGCCCTGTGTTATGACGAGAGCAGAGGGAATGTGAGACTGACTGTGTTTGCTTTGAAAGGTGCCATGTGTCTGATGATGACACCATATTCACTCATTTCTTTTCCTTTTTAGATCCTTCCCAGGAGTTCCATTATGGGTGTGAGAGGTTTGCATGGGTTTGTGGCAAGTAGCTGCCCACATGTATGTACGGTAGTAAATTTCAAGGAGCTGGCGGAACGCCACCGAAGCCAGCACCCTGGAGGGACCCCTACCGTCGTGGTCGATGCCATGTGCTGCCTCAGGTACTGGTACACACCGGAGTCTTGGATCTGCGGTGGACAGTGGAGGGAATACTATTCTTCTTTGCGAGAATTTGTGAGAACTTTTACCGCTGTTGGCATCAAGCTGATCTTCTTCTTTGATGGCATGGTGGAGCAGTCCAAGAGAGACGAGTGGGTGAAACGCAGACTCAAAAACAATAGGGAGATAGCCAAGATCTTCCACTACATCAAGTCCCACAGGGAGCAGCCGGGCAGAAACATGTTCTTCATCCCCTCGGGGCTGGCCATATTTACGCGGTTTGCTTTGAAGGCCCTGGGTCAGGAAACTCTGTGCTCGTTACAGGAGGCCGACTACGAGGTGGCCTCCTATGGTTTCCAGAACAACTGTCTTGGGATTCTTGGAGAAGACACTGACTACTTAATCTATGACACCTGTCCCTACTTCTCCATCAGTGAGCTCTCCCTGGACAGCCTGGACACCGTCATGCTCTGCCGGGAGAAGCTCTGTCAGAGCCTCGGGCTCAGCCTGGCCGACTTGCCCCTGTTGGCCTGCCTGCTTGGCAATGATGTCGTCCCCGAAGGCATGTTCGAGAGCTTTCGGTACAAGTGTTTGACGTCCTATACCTCTGTGAAAGAGAACTGTGACAGAAGAGGTAACATTATCTTAGCTGTAGCAGACCACATATCTAAGGTTCTTCGGTTGCATCAGGGTGAGAAAAAGCTGGAAGAGATGCTACCTTTGGGACCAAACAAAGCTCTTTTTTATAAAGGAGTAGCATCATATCTTTTGCCAGGACAGAAATCTCCATGGTTTATCCAAAAACCTAAAGATATAGTAACTTTGGACAAGCAGGTACTGTCCATAAGTTCAGATCCTGAATCTAAGCAGGAAGTTCCCATGCGTATGGACCCTGAATCCAAGCAGAAATTACCTGTAGATACAGACCCTGAATTTAACCTAGGAGCACCCATGTGTACAAACACTGAAGTTAAACAAGAAGACCCTGTAAATGCGGGGCCTGAAGCCAAGCATCAAGTAACTATGGTTTCAGATCCTGAAATCTTAAAGGTAGGTGCACGTGCCCACCCAAATCTAATATGTCATGATTGAAAATGTACCCAGTGATGGATTTGTCAGTGAATATTTATTGACGGCCTGCAGTGGTTAAGACACAGTGGGGGCCACAGAGCCAAACCCTTGAGTTTAGGTAGGAGCTTCACAATATATGTGAAAACCTACCTTGTGAACTCCATCTCGTGTTGTTCCATGGCTGTTACAGAGTGCTAGGGACTTGAAAGAGAGTGATCACTGTGGGTTAAAGACAGAGAGAAGTCCCCAGAGGAGTAGTTACAACTGGAGCCAGGCCTTCCTACTCCCGAGGTTTGCTGTGAACAGGCAGAGATGGGACCTGTGCCCTCAGCAGAGCCCTGGGACAAGTAGCTGAGTCCTGGGGTGTGAAGGGCTAAGTAAGGAGAAGATAACTGGGAAGCACAGATGCCACCAGATGGTGGATATTCCTGCAGGCCACCGTAGGGATTTGAAGGTAATCCTGAAAGTGATATAGAGCCTTGATAGTTTTTGAAGGAGGGCCACTGTTCATGAACTGCCTGCTTTGTGTAAGTTCTGTCTACTTGCAGTGTATCTGTTATCTTATTGAAACCTCTCGTTATCCTTGGGTTACAGAGAAAGTGCGTGTGGACACTAATGCCCTGAGGCTTCTCAGCAAGTGCAGAGCCAAATAGGACTTTACTTACAGCTTTTCATTGTTGTTGCATTGAGGGTCGCCATCTTTCACAAGTTAAAAACCTGGGAACATCTCTCCCATTTTCATAACCAGTCTCTCAAGTCTTGTTACTTTGATCGCTTCAGTGGCTCTTACCACCCTGAGCTCTCACTGCCCTGCGTGGATGACTGTAGACATCTGAGAACCCTTCCTAAATAGACCTTGGCCCTTGCAGCCCCTTTGTCATGCTGCACGCAGAAGTAAAGCCTCGATTAGCATTTCCTATCTCTTCAGAGGGAAGTGGTGACCTGCACAGAGCGGGCCTGTCCCCGGCTGCTGCCTGCTGCTCCAGCCATACAGTACCTGCCCCTCTCCTGTATGGCCCTCTGGCCCGTCCGCTGGTCGGTGCCTGCTGGGCTTTCCCGTCACACACCCAGAGAGGCTGCCCACCCTGTGTGAGTGGCTGATGTTTGCCGCAGGTGCCCCGGAATGCCCTCTCTGCTTCAGGTCTTTCCTTCCAGACCGGGCGGTTCTGTTTTTGTCGTCCCTGCCGCGTCTCAGGGAGTGTCCTCTGCCTCTGGTGCCTCTGTGCTCCCTCTCAGGACTTCTCCCCTCCCTCCCGTACAGCTGCAAGCAGTGGGCCCCTCTCTCGGTCACTCACCGTGTAACAGACAGGGTAGCTTCTTATCGTGGGCAATTACAGTGAGAGGTAGAATGTGATACATGTTTCAAGAGAGTTGTACGTGAAAAAGTATTAAGTTAAGAAATTTTTTCTACCTGGAACATTCTTAACTGCCTCTTAGGGAAGAGAATGTGAGTGGACACTCAGGGCAGGTTGGCAGGGGGCCCGCAGGTGGGGCTCCCGACAGGCGGTGGGCGGTGGGGCGCGGCGGCCTGGAGACAGGAGGGCCCCAGCACAGCCCTCGGAGGAGGGAGAGGAAGGCGTTCGGCGTCCGTGCTCAGTTTGGTTACGCCGCTGGCTCTCCAGTGACACGCCTCTGCATAGCTGTTCCTGGTTCTCGGGCCGTTCCTCACTGTCTCCACTAAGACAGCTCTGTTGCTGGACGCCCTGGTCTCCTGCTCACATGAGGCTGTGGGTGTGCAAAGGCTAAATGACATGTCTGCAGTGATCACACAGCTAATTCTTGTAGACCCCGAGTTTGAGCCCAAGCCTTCCACGCTTCACAAGATCGAACCCACATTCCCTGGGGTCTGAAAGTCCATCGGTACTGGGAGAGGGACGTGTCGTGGTCAGGAGTTGGGAAGTGGGAGAACAGAAGAGTCTGAAAGGGAGCCGCCCTGCTCAGAGTCTTACTCAAGACTTGGGTGGTATCTGCTTTTTGTCCAGCCCAGGACTCAGAGAACTCCCATGCCACACCTCCAGCACCGCTCCAGGCTCGCTTCTGTTTTGCTCTGGTTCTTGCCGGTCCCCAGATCTCACTTCCGTCTGTGTGCCTTGCACCTGTCCCTTCTGGGCTCTGCCTCACACACCCTGACTGCGTTCCCTGTGCCTGCCCCATACCCACTGGGCGTCCACTGTGTTCACGGGCAGCCTGGCGTCTCACCCAGTTTCCTCCAAGGGAAGTCCAGAAAAGTTAGGTCCAGCCACAGAGAGCAAGCATGTGTGTCCTGAGAGAGTTCAGGACTTAGTTCTTATCCTTTTTTAGGAGGCATGGGATAGCAAGTGGAGGTTCTGAAACAGTAGAGACTGGACCGGTGTGGCTATGAGCTGGAATTAGGGACATGGAACTGGAGTAAAAGAAGCAACTCAGGCAGTGTTTCAGAAGAGAATCCTGCTGTGCAGGTGAAGCTCCTGTGCTCAGGCTGTTGGGGTGGGGGTTGGCCTGAGCTAAACAGAAGGAAGGCTTCACAGGGACCATCTGAGGCGTAAAATGTGTGCTGTACGTGTAGTGGAGACCCTCCAGGTAGAAGCAGTGATGCCCTGAGGGGTGAAGGGTGTCCAAGGGGGAGGAGAGCGAGGTGAGAGTAACCTGACAAGGACCCAGGGAGGCAGGTTCACAGGTGAGAAGGGAGGCGGGTCTGCCCGCTGCCGCTGCGGCCATAAACAGGTCTCAGAGGTTGTCAGGATTGGCACGTGGGAGGATTGGGGGGCCTACAGAGCTCTGGTCACCATGGGCTTGGTGGAGGTCAGTTTACAGGAATTTGGTGGCAATTTGGAGGCAAAAAAGGCAGAAGCTGGGGATGGGGTTGCTCTTTCTGGAAGTCTGGCAGAAAAAGCCCAGCAGAGTCTCCTGGGCCTGTGAGCGGGTGAGGGGTGGGGGAGGGAAGGACAGAGTGTGTCCTGTGTCAGTGACACCCGGACTTCTTGAGCTTAGAGGTCGCTTCGAAAATAACTTGGAAGTTTCTTACATTCCCCTTAAAAATTCCTTAAAAAATTTTTTGCAGTGGCATCTTCCAGCACTGACAATAGATAACCAGAATTCAAACGTGCATTTTGGCCACATGTGGTTATCCTAGAAGTCCTTCCCTGCCAAGTAGCTGAATGTAGCAATTACCTGGGTGCATGCACACAACCATTGCTGTTTCCTCCAGCAATTGGATAAACTGAATTCTTGCTTTAGAATTTTCAGATTAGGTGAATATGTTAAAGTTTTTCCAAGTGTGGAATGCTATATAATATCTGCAGTAAGGGCAGAGATAAAAGATGCTGAGGTGATATTATAATTGTAGAAAACTTCTCTGAAAACCCTGGGTACACCCAGAAAAGAATGTTACATCTCAACTCTGTATAGTTGCCAAAATTGAAAGTTTTTTGATACAGTGAATATGCAATTTGTTACAACTTTATAGATAAATTTGTCAAAATTCTAACTCTTTTGAAATAAAAAAAGAGTAAGAAATGTAAGAAGGTATAGGAAAATACATTAGAGGGTCTTGTACCTTAAAAGAATCATGAAATATCTAACCATATTGTTTCTGATAGATTCTGTATCAAAAGGAACATTATAGAGAAATATGTTACTTCTAATGATCTTTGATTGGTTAGAGCATCAAGTAATAACTCTTTTGGGATCATTGCTGACTTTAAAGCTGCTGGCTTGTCTGCCATCCTGATTTAAAGAAGCGTTTTGCCATGAAATAGACCCTGGAGTATGTCCAGCCAGAGAGCAGTCGTGGCCACCTGTTGGCCATGCATTATTTGCCAGCCTCTGTATTGGCTCATTTAATCCTCACGGATAGTTGTGTGAAGACAGCACCTTTGTTAAACCTATTTTACACGTGAAGGAGGCAGGCGCTGAAGGCATTAAGACTCAAGTCACCAGAGTGAATGGGCGTGACCGAGCGGGTCACCTGCGTCAGTAGCAGGACACTGATGTGCAGAGTTTTTGATGCTCCAGGCTGTTGTCAGAGCGCATTTTACATGCCATCGGGGGTAGGGTAGATTTAAATTATGAAGGGTAATCCTGCAGGTTGTCAGAGCACATTTTACATGCCATCAGGCGTAGGCTGGATTTAAATTATGAAGAGTAATCCTGCAGTGGTAAGAGTGTTCTTTGCAGAAACATGAAACCTGTATGTCGGTTATTACAGACCATCTGATCTCAACTCCTCATTGAATGGGAGCGTGGCATCCGTTTCATCATCCATCTTGTCACCTCCCAGTACTGACACTGCACTGCATTCAGAGCAGAAAGAAGCGAGTGCTCGGGCACAGTTTCTGCTCAGTGAAACAGTACTGAACAGGTGAATGAAGGTGATGCAGTTTCTAATCCCAGGGAATTTATGGTTTAATAGAGATGAGGCAAGGTAACGAGTGTACGGTAAATGTGAGTTGAGCCCCTCAGGTCGGGGAGGTGAGTTCTTGTTCAAAGAGGATGACAGGGTTCTGCAGAGATGACACTTCAGGGGAACCTCATGGGGCAGAGACTGGAAAGTGGCTTTTGGGAAGGGCTGAAAGAGGTCAGTTTCCATCATGGAGGTTGGGCCCCAGAGTGTCCACGAGGGGTGCACAGGAGGAGATGGAGGTCTTCACGGGACTTCTTCAACTCAGGCTGAAGAGTCTGGGAGCTGGCCTGAGTGCAGTGATTGGGCCTCTGTTTCCAGGAAGACGGTGTCGCTGGGGTGAAAGGTGGGTTGGAGAGCCTGGAGCGGGGTGGCTGGAGTGCTGGGCAGCCTCTGTCCCTGTCGGGTGGACAGGATGTTGAGTGACGGCAGAGTTTAGTCACATGTCTGGTTGGGGGGTGGAAATTGGAGGAGGAAAGTGGTACTAGAAAGTTCTGAGCTGCAAAACACAGAGGCCAGCTTGACGTCCTGAGTTTGAGTGACATTTACTCTACCTCTGAGCCCTAGAAGGCCTTGGATTTCCTGCTGGAGGTCATGGTATTGTTTTCAAGGAGAAACCAGTTACATTTAACCGTTGGGCAGGTCGCCAGAGCACAGCACGTCCAGGCGGAGAGCTACCTGGTGTACGGTGTGATGAGCAGCGGTGAGGTGGAGTGCAGCAACAGCCTGGAGGACGCCACGGACCAGGCCCTGCCCAGCCAGGCCTTTGTCTACCGGCCCGTGCGGCAGCGCGTCTACTCCCTCCTGCTGGGGGGCGGCGCAGGTGAGTCGTGGTCTCCAGGGGCCGTGTGGCTGGAGCTGATTCTAACAACTGGCCAGATGGAACGAGTGCCTGCTTTCAGGACTCAGGATTTGTTTCTCTGTAAAGTCTGAAATGGAAAATGCCACTGACGCCTGTGTGGGATTAAGGGTAAACGCATGGGATGTCTATATATCTGGTTAGCATGCAGTTGACCAGAGTTCATTGAAAGAGAAGTGCGTTATTTCTGTTGTAAAGTGTTGTATTTTTATTCCTTAAAAGGATTTGTGCTTTTTAAAAATTTTGGAAACCCTTTCCTCCTGTAGAAGTGTAGTGTAGGGTGTGTCTGTTATTAGAAGTTTCTTATGATTATGGTATATCTTTCTATGTTACTTTTAAACTATTTCTTAATATTTGAAGCATTTCTCTTTTAAGCAGCATGTCAGTCTTTCAGTCTCTGTCTTTTAGTTCGATTGTCTGGGCTCTTTACATTTACTGTGCTGACTGACATGACTGGGTTTAATAAGTCTTCATTGTGCTCTTTGCTCTGTCCTCTTTTCCCTATTTTCCCCTTTTCTGAGTTCTTTTGGAATAGTTGAATAATTATTAGTATTTTGCTTTATATTGGCTTACTATTGGACTTGAATTATTAGGTTTACTTGTTTTTATGTGTTTGCTTATTTTTTTAGCAGTTGCTGTAGGGTTTATAATGTATGTCTTTAACTTGTCAGAATTTGGCTTCAGTATTATACCATGTTAAGGCATACTGTAAAAACCTTACAACAGTATACTTCCATTCCCCCCATCATTTTTGCTATTCAGTTTATTTTAAATATTTTATTTTGAAATAATTATATACTCAAGGGAGTTGCAAAAAATAGCATATAAGATTTCATTTACCCTTTATAAGATGACATTGTATATAATAAAGTATAATATCAAAGTCAGGAACTTGACATTAGTACAGTACTGTGAAGCAGACTATAGATGTCATTCACTTTTCAGGATTTTTATACCCATTCATTCGTGTATGTGTATAATTCTGTGCAGTATTATCCATACAAGATACAGGTGTGGATGTACAGATATCCATGTACAGATATGGATGTATTATCCATACAAGATACAGGTGTGGATGTACAGATGTCCATGTACAGATATGGATGTATTATCCATACAAGATACAGGTGTGGATATACAGATATCCATGTACAGATATGGATGTATTATCCATACAAGATACAGGCGTGGATGTACGGATACCCATGTACAGATATGGATGTATTACCCATACCAGATACAGGTGTGGATGTATGGATATCCATGTACAGATATGGATGTATTACCCATACCAGATACAGGCGTGGATGTATAGATATCCATGTACAGATATGGATGTATTACCCATCCCAGATCCAGGCATGGATATACAGATACCCATGTACAGATATGGATATATTACCCATCCCAGATCCAGGCGTGGATATACAGATACCCATGTACAGATATGGTTGTATTACCCATCCCAGATCCAGGCGTGGATATACAGATACCCATGTACAGATATGGATGTATTACCCATACCAGATCCAGGCGTGTTCCATGGCCGCAGGGGCTCTCCCTCTGCTGCCTCTTGGTGCCCACCTTCTGTCCCTATCCCCTGGTGAACACTGGTCGGTCCTCCAATGCAACACCTCGGTCATTTTGAGAGTGTCACATAAATGGAAATATAGTAGGTAACCTTTCGAGATTTATGCATATGTTTTAAGCATAAATATGTGATTCTTATTTTTACTTTAAGCTGTTGGCGAAAATTTTTGTGAAGGACTAGATGATAAATATTTTAGGCTTTGAGGGCCCCACAGTTAGTAACAGCTAATGAGCTCTGCTGAGTCGGTGCCCTAGACACAAATCCAGAAGGGCATGGTTGTGCCACTGAAGCTCTGTCTGTCTAGTTTTCCCATGTCGCAAAGTTTGAATTGTATGTCACTGGTCTGTGTCACAGAATATTCTTCTTTCATTAATTTTCTAATCATTTAAAGCAATATGAAAAATATTATTAGCTTTCAGACTGAATAAAAGCAAGCCAGCCAGATTTGGCCTGTGAGCCGTGCTTTTGGTTGTTTTGGAAAGGAGTTAATCGGTGAGTTGATGTCTGCTGTGTGTGCCGTTTCTGGTGCTCTTTATTGCAGAAATATAATTCTGCTGGCGGCAGAATTTTAGATGCTTTTGTCCGGCACTTTGAGGGTGTCATTCTGTTGTCTCTAGCTTGTGTTTCTCCTGAGATGACCATGGTCCTTCTGACTGTTGGGTCCGCAGGTTGTGAGTGTGTGTTTCTCAGGCTGTCCTTAGGGTTTTCTGCTGATTGCTGGTTTTCAGCCCCTATTTAAGCTGAACTTTGGAGTCATTTCCTCCATGTTTATTCTGCTTGCAGCTGTTGAGCTGCTTGGGTCTGTGAGTTTCTACTCCCTGTTGACTTTGAGAGAGCGCCATTTCATTGAGCACTGTTGTCTGTGTCTCTCTGTCGTTCTGGGCCCCTGTCACATGCCTGGTTCACACCTCACAGTGCCCCTCAGGCACCAAAGCTCGTTTTAAAGCCTCCTCTCTCTGTGCTTCAATTTGCATCCCTCTTGTTGCTCTAATTTCACATTTACAGAGCCTTTCTTCTGCAGTGTCTAGTCTGCTACTAGCCTATCCAGTGAAATGGTCATTTCAGATATTGGGTTTTTAGCATGTAAAAAGTCTTCCATTTCTTTTTTCCCTGTCTTCATGTTTTCCTTTAAATCCTTAAACTTGTTTGCAGTACCTGTTTTCAAGTCCTTGTCTACTCATCCCATCATCCTGTCATTGCTGGGCCTGTTTCTTGTCTTTTCTCCTTCTGGTGGGTCCACGTGTTTCTGCTTATTCTCGTGTCCAGTATTTCACTGTTTTGAAAAGGTTTTGGATCTGTGAAGGGTCTTGCCTTTTGTCCTCTAGGGGTCATTTACCTGATCCTTGCAGGGTTTGCCTGAAGTCTCGTTAGGTGGTCTGGGGAACCTCAGGAGATGGAGGGGCTCTGTTCCTGAGGCTGGGGCTTCCTGGGCTGTCACCGAGTGCCGGCGTCTGACACAGCCCAGCCCCTGCACGTGCGGCCTCAGGGGGCCTCAGGGTCGCACAGCCCATGGCCGTCTGCCTGGCCCCGTTCAGCCTTGCCCTGGACCTGCCGCGCTCCGTCCCTCAGGACCTCAGGGTGCTTCTCTGCATGGCGCCGGCTCTGGCTCTGCATGCAGCCCTGCCGCGGGGACAGCCTGTCCTCTCCGAGCCCTGCTCTGCCCTGCTCTGCTCCTCGCTCCGCTCCTCTCTCCTCTCTTGCTCTGCTGGGCTCTCACAGCCTAGGCTGCCATCTGCACAGCGCCCTGGGGTAGAGCTGTCCGCTTGAGGGTGCCAGGGCTTCTCGGGTCCTTGGCACAGGAAGGGCCGTGGCTGCAGCCCGCAGCCCCTGCCTCGGCCACACCCAGCCTCCTCCCGTGTTGTGGGTGCCGGTGGTGGTGAGTGCTGGTGTGGCGCTTGTACCTTTTTTGTGGCTTTTCTTTGCCCTTGGAGAGCTCTGTCCTGCATGTTGGTACATCTTTCTCCCATCCATATGTCTATTGTCCGTTGTTGGAGCTGCTCAGAGATGATGCTGGACCTCCTGGGCTGATGTTTTGTTTCTTCATCCTTACTTCCTGGTTTGTTTTTCCTGCATTTGGGGAACATTTCACCACTTCATTCTCAGCTCTTTGAGAGGTTTCCCTCTCTCCTTCCTGTCTCATTTCTCTCTCCTTTGAGACCTCACTCGTCTTCCTGACAGTTCTCCAATGAAGTGGAATTCCTGCTGGAAGCCTTGAACCTCGCTGGTGGGAGGCTGGCAGAGCTGGGTTTGCTCCCTTTATACCCATGTGCTTTCTTTCACTTGCATTGCTTTAAGAATCAAATCCATGTTGACAGATACAAAATGCATTTTCCAACTCAAGCCATCCTTCTGATCAGTTCTCTTTATTCCTCAGGCCCTTAAATACTAACTCCCCCTGATTCCTCGCTTCTTCCCTCATCAAAAGTGATTTCCTGTCACTCACAGGAACCATCTTGCGTGTGGAAGAGGCGTGGTTGGGCGGGGAAGCGGGGGAGGAAGGAGGTGCCCCAGAGGGCCACTGACCCAGTGTCTCCTCTCCCTCCCTGGAAAGAAGTAATTTCCTCTCTACGGGCACCATGCACTCTTCATTCTTCAGCCCATTACTGTTTGTACTTGCCCGTGCACGTCGTCCGTGGCCACCTCCCCACCAGGCTAAGCGGGGCCTGGTCAGGGGCGTCCTGCTGCACCTGGCAGATGTCTCAGTGTGAGTTAGTGACCGATACGTGTGTTTAAAATACTGCCTCTTCAGAAGTGCTTGCATTTAGCAAGGCATTCTTTGGAAAAGGGTTACTCTGATGGTTGAATTTCAGACACCGAGGGAGAGCGATGGTCCCTCAAACGCTGCTACACGAGCAGCTGTCTCTAAACCCTGTCTGACGGGCAGGCAGGGAGCTACTTGTTTGGAGTGAGGTTTAGAATCAAAGGTGCCTTTAGCTCCGCAGTCACTGACTCTCCTCACCAGAGCTCCCGCAGGTGTGCAGCTGTGGACACTGGAGGTCTGAGCCAGAGCATGGCACCAAATTGATGACTTCATCCCTCAAAGTCCCTAATTATGGGCAGGGTGTGGATAACAGATCTGTTGGATGCTCTAGTTCATCTGGAATGTTGGAGGGTGCCTCTTTAGGGAGTGCTTGGTCACTGCGCTCCTCCCCGTATTTATATAGTGGAGCATATGGTGTTTAGACAACTCAGTGGCATCTTGGCCAAAACAGGGGAGAAACCCTGAAGTCACTCAGTCTTCAGCCTGTCCTTGGCTTCATGCCTGTTCTTACCACTGATTTTAACACTGTCTGTTTTTTAGTCTCCCTAGTGATAAGATTAGATAAAATCATCAGGAAGCTTGATGCATTTTAAGAAATAAAAGAAACTCAAA